TGTCCAACTGTGTCACCTTCCATATGTGACACGATTCTCAACACCTGATCTATTTTTAATAAATTTATTAGAAAAAAACAAATTTAATTTTTGCGATTTAGAGATTATACATTCACTATATCCAAGGAAGTCATGGTGCAAAGAAAATACTGATTTAGTTTATCATCGCTTCATGTATCAAAGTAACCTTATGACTTAGAGGATCCTTAGGTGAGTGTGTTAAGCTTTAGTCTGTGATGGAGGCATCACCACCACCACACAGCAGTGCCTCGTAGCAGGACTCGTAATTCTGTGGCGCGGGTTCGATTCCCGCACGAGGCAGAAACAAATGGGCAAAGTTTCTTTCATCCTAAGTGCCCCTGTTACCTAGCAGTAAATAGGTACCTGGGAGTTAGTCAGCTGTCACGGGCTGCTTCCTGGGGAAGCAGTGTGTGTGTGTGGTGTGGGAAAAAAAAAAGTAGTTAGTAAACAGTTGATTGACAGTTGAGAGGCGGGCCGAAAGAGCAAAGCTCAACCCCCGCAAAAACACAACTAGTAAACACAGCAGAACGAGGCCCCTGGCGGCTCTGACAGACTAATGTGAGTCTGGACCAAAGTTCAATTAATTGAGCAAAGACCATATGACACTTGTCTGAGACGTATAGTGGTCTCCTTGGTGATGTCATATTGACCCAGTGCCTTGTTATCAGTCATTACCTGACCGTCTTTAGACAGCTCCTGTAGAACTGACGGTATGCCTGTGTTACTCTCTATCACCTCTTTGACTTCCCCAACTGTGTCATACACCCCAAACTCGTGTGTAAAACAGTCTCCAGAAGGAAGTATCACGTGCAGGAAAAACATAGGCTGTGCCCCTCCTCTCAATCTTAGTACAAAATGCAGAGTATCATTATCGTGGATCCCATAATGATCCAGACTGTTTTCAAGCGTCAGCTGACGGCCCCTGAATATTAATCTCGCATGATCGACTGAATGACCGACTTTTTCAACTAAACTCGCCACACTGTCGGAGGGTTCTGCGTCCACCTCTAGTGTCCCTCCTGTTAATGGCTTCAAGAAGATCTTCATGGTGTAGCTTGATAGCGTTCAAGGCACCTGTAAAACGTGAAGGGGATAACAGAAGCCATATCATAGATAGCAGGCAAGGAAGGTAGGGCTACAGGCAAGAAGGGCAGGAAGGAAGGAAGGGTAGGATAGCAGGAAAATGGGTTAAGACGGAAATAAATAAGCATAGCACGACAGGCATGGAACACTAAACGCCCAGAATAGTGCAGAACACTAAAAAGTGTAATATAAAAACAAAATTAAATACAATAGTATGTCACAAAACATTACAATGTATATTTATGGAGGACTAATAGACCATCAGATGTGAAGATCAAACTATTGTCTAGTTTTTCATATAATCCAACTTGCACCGGATGTGCCGTCAGTCGTGGTGAGCCGCTGGCATCTGCTCTGACGGAGTAGATGACTTTTGTGTTTAAGCTGGGAGCCGAGTATTTAGTTTAGCTACCTGGTGTTCTCTGTGTGGGGCGGGGCCGGTGCTTGTCACCCAGAGGGACTCCTGGGCCTCCCCAATCATCTGCCTGTCTTCGGTTTTGCGATTAATCCTATACGGGTACGGCGGGGCGCGTCCGATCCCACATCGTCGCGGGGGGGGGGGGGGAAGGGGTAGAAATAGCCTAAGCTACTCTATCCATTTGAGATGTATTTTTTCTTGTCTCAATAAACATACTTGAACTTGAACGTCGTCGTCGTCGCCCCTACATCAACAACAACAACAATAACTCGTACCCAAAAAGAAAGGAAATCACTATTTACTTTTCACATATATTGTCCCCTTCTGTGCTCACGTTGCTTTGTGTTCGTCGCTTATCATAACTTACTTGTCCCACTTCACCTACAGGTTGCCTGCTGGTGCTTCGGTTGCTCGTACTTGCCTGTAAACAGTGCCACTTTGTCTCTGAGCAGTGCCGGGGATGCTCACTCTCTCATGACCTTGGCACAGACACCCGTGTTTACCTATTCAATTATTACATGTAATACTAGTGGTTTTGATGCGGACAGGAAGCCGGCAGCTTGTCAAATGTCCCCCCTATTTATCCTGATGATATTTTCCAGTTGTATTATAAAACCCAGCCGAGTTTTGGCGTTTATGGCCCTGGCGGGTAGGCGGTTCCACGGGTTTACAACCCTATGGGTGAAAAAGCATCTCTTGTTTTCTGTTAAATATTATATAGCTGGTTTGTCGCTGTTAGGCCTTATATAATACAGTTTAGTTTTGGGCACCGCACTTTAAAACTGACATAAATTCCAAGTATCTGTTCAATTATTATATCACTTTTTTAGGTCCTATTGCACCAGTCTGCCGCCCGTACAAGGCCGAGGGAAGCATATATGAATGTGTTGGATCACCACTACACCACATTATTCACGTATATTATGACACTTATAATACAAGTTATCACCACTACACCACATTATTCACGTATATTATGACACTTATAATACAAGTTATCACCACTACACCACATTATTCACGTATATTATGACACTTACAATACAAGTTAGACTTGCCTGTCGTAGCTGAGAACCTTCCCCACCGAGAGCTGCTACAGCTATGATAGGCAGCACAGTTTTCCGCCTCTGGTGTCTCCCAGATTGCACCATGTAATGGTGCAATCTGGCGGAAGCCTACTACGAAATGTTTAGTTTTTGTCCTTTCCAAATAGTTAGTATATTTCACGGAACATTTATGATCTTACCAGCAAGTTGACTGTGCATTATGTGGCAACGGACAAAGGTCTTAGAATATCCAACATAATTGTATAAAATGATGTATTATAATTTCCACACTTGGCACTCTGAGGCGCCTCAGCGTGACTATGTATCGTATTTCCAACTATAATTAATATCATAATATTTATCAAAATTTTATCTGGGTTAATATGAACGGCAACATTTACTTACAATATGGAATAATATCATAGACACCTAACAATGTAGTTCACTTTACAGTTTAAACAATTACAAATGTAAAAATGACTTGAAAGTGTTTGTACATACTCTCCAACACTATTTGTGACTGCCATCTTATCAGTGACTTCCGTCCTAATGATATGGGGTACGTTGAGCTCTGGAATTACTTCATATACTCAGAAATATTGAGACTTATGCTGTACCCAAATTTTGCTAGTGGAGGCTAATAGATCAGCCTTACATTTCATGTTTTCTCCTGAGTCTATGTATGACTGGCCGTTCTGTGAGGTGGGAATGTTGGATGAGCTTGTAGCTGGTGTTTAATTTACACTGTTTGGACCTTCATACATAATAAATAAAATAAATAAATAAATAAATGTTTATTCGGGTAAAGTACATACATACAAGAGGTTTTACAAAAATTGATAGATTTATAGATAGAGGTAGTACATACAATGCCTAAAGCCACTATTACGCAAAGTGTTTGGGCAGGAAAATGAAGGATGTATGGATGCGCCACCACCTGGATTATTGCATCCAGGCATGGAGACCTTATCTTCAGAAAGACATAGCTGCTCTAGATCACGTAGTCATCTCACGTACCAGGAACGGTGTAGGGCCACAGGGCAAACAACACTGCAAACCAGACATGACAAGGCGGATCTCATCGAAACCTTTAAAATACTGAACCATTTGGAGGATGTTGATCCGGTCATTTTCTTCAAAAGGTCAGATGTAACACGAACGAGGACCAACGGGTTCAAGCTTGTAACGGTTCTATTGTTACGTAAAGTATGGTGACAATAAACACAGACACTAAGATACTATATATATATTTGGTCGAATATACAGAAGTACACAGGTGATACTTTGGTGTGAGTTGAGCGCACTGAGCGTCGGTACAGTATCTCGCAAGTGTCTGCTCTAGACCACACTTGAAAGTAGACTCTGGTTAATGTTTGCTATTCTGCTGCTTATATGCTCGGGCAACACCTCACCGTGTTGCCCGGGCAACGCCTCACCTCATTCATCTCCAAAGGTTGACAGGAATATTAACAATGCATTTGGAGCGAGTATATTATTGGGATAATCTACTCGCTACAAGCTCAATAAGCCACAATGTAGGACTGATAACAGATTCTTTTTCAGCAACAGGGTTATAAACCCATGGAACAGCCTACCTGCCGAAGCCGTAAATCCCAAAAACTCTGTTAACCCTTAAAGTACAGCTGGAAAAGATCATGAAGGCAACTGGGGGACCTTCGACAAGCCGCCGGCTTCCTGTCCTTGTCGAAGCCACTACTGTTAGTGGCTCTCAAGTAAACAGGTAAATACTGCCGTTTCTATAAAAAAAAAAAAATATATATGTACATACATACATACATACATACTATAAAGATAGGTTAGGTTAGGTTAGGTAGGGTTGGTTAGGTTCGGTCATATATCTATACTCCAATATGACCTCATACATATATATATATATATATATATATATATATATATATATATATATATATATATATATATATATATATATATATATATATATATATATATATATATATATATATATATATATATATATATATATATATATATGTATGTATGTATGTCAACATCTCATATACAATTTAAAATTAGTAATAAATGAGGTGGCAAGTGTGTAGGGATATGTTCACGCAGTAGTCACATGAAAAGCTCTTTAATAACTCCTTCTATGGTTGCTAGGAAGGGAATTGTAACCCCGCAGAAAATGTATTAGAAATCGACTGTTTGTAAACATTCTTCTTCTTATATGGGCTTAAAATAGTCGTCAGACTATTATTTAATAGTGTATTTAGTTTAATTAAGTATTTGGATAAATATGTCGAAGAAACTTGAAGAGAAACTAAAGTAATATATTAATAAAAAAATATTATTGCTTTATGTTGTAATAGGTTTGATTTTATGTAAAGAAAGATAAATTAAATTATCTAAAAGCACGACAATAAGCGGGATAGCGAGACACGAACGGCATCCTGGGAGTCGCTGGCCCTGACAGCTCTCTGGGAGTCAGCTGCGTTATAACTATCATCATTCCTTCTCTCTCTTTCTCTCTCTCCCTCTTCCTAGTCGCCTCCCGTCCCTCTGGGGCACCTTCCTCGCTCGCTGTGTCGTGGCTGTGGCTTCCTCGGGGCCACTACTGCACGAGAGGTCAGTCCTTGCACTTAGCAGCAGTCTGAGGTCTTGCCCGAAATGTTATGCGTAATAGTGGCTTTAGGTATTGTATGTATTAGCTCTATCTATAAATTCAACAGTATGTTTGTAACTCTGCGTCTATGTATGTACTTTTCCAGAATAAAATATTATTATTATTATTATTATTATTATTATTATTATTATTATTATTATTATTATTATTATTATTATTATAGGTCGTTCCTAGAGCTTGGGACAAAGGGAGAGATTAGTCGTGCACTTTTTAATAATGATCGGCGTGCTTATTATATTATTATAGGTACAGTACCAGTGTTTATTATATTGTGAATGGCATTATAACAACTTGCTGTGTCCATTATGACTTGATACTATAACAGCTTGATTTGCCCATTATATTATGATTAGCACCATGACAGCTTGATTTGCCCATTATTACTGGTATCATGACAACTTACTGTATCCATTATATATACTGTATATGGATGCCTAAAGGCTCAAACTGATCCCACAAAACCTACGAGGAACTAGCTGGTGTTGTTGTCGAACACAGTAACAATTGTGCTGGATGTCTAGTTCAGTGTGTGTGTGTGTGTGTGTGTGAGCTGTATGAATGAGTCGCTTGTTCGTGATTTTTTCGGAGTGGAATTTCCCTCCTGTAATTACCAAGTGTAGTTACAGGATGAGAGCTACGCTCGTGGTGTCCCGTCTTCCATGCACTCTTTGTCTTATAACGCTTTGAAACTACTGACGGTCTTGGCCTCCACCACCTTCTCACCTAACTTGTTCCAACCGTCTACCACTCTGTTTGCGAAAGTGAATTTTCTTTCACAAACAGAGTGGTAGACGGTTGGTACAAGTAAGCATTGTATTGTACTTGTAAATTTTTAAATCGGTAATTTTGTTAAGTGCATTGTGATACATCTTTCAAATCCTGTATTAATTATATTGGCATAGAACTTTATTCTGATAATTACCTTACCTTATGTGCAAGTTTACCTCAATAAGCAGCTTTTAGTATTCTCAGTATTTCATTCATCCTCAGTATTCAGAGAAAATACTGTATGACAAATGTTACATTTCTGGGAAACTCCACAACAACACCATTACTAAAGTTACAGTTCATCAAATTGTTTTTGAGTGCCCATATTAAATAGCAAATATTTATGTACAAATGTGTATGAACTATGGCATATAAAAATAAGCATGTTAGAATGAAAAAATAAACAAAATAAACAAACTAATTTAAATCATCCAGCTAATTATCCTGATACATTAACAAGAGCCATTCAATTGTATCATTCCATCCAACTAGCCTAATCTAGTAACAAGAAGCAAGAAATTACTGTACGTCTACTGTATGTCATATAATAACTAGTACAGTACACTGTACATGTATAATTTATTGAGTCGGACACACAAAGAAATCACATTAACGTGATGTATCAATTAGAAAATCAGTTTGAATCAATTGAATTTCTCAATGATACATCACGTTAATGTGATTTGAAGGGAGCATTCGTGGGAGTTGAATACCAGGTTGCATTACTTACAGCCGTATCATGGTTCAATGGTTTAATGCATGCACTTGGAAGTACAGTACCCACGTTGCTGGTTCAAATTCCCTGCATGGCTCCAATTTATTTTTATTTTAAGTTGGCTTTTCTGTACAGTACAGCATTTTATTTAACTTGAACTCAGAAATTCCCTTTTTAAAGTCGTGCCCATGTTTGCCAGGTGGTATCTGACAGTGGTGAAGGTAACTTCTCCACAAATAAATTTTCAATGTAGATGTATACAAACATATGAGAAATGTTTAAAGTTCATAAATAATTTATACATCTAGGCTAAGTTTTTCCAAACTACTGTATTGATAATACAGTATTGTACTTATATTAATGCTTTTGCCGTAAGGCTCGACTATATTCTCCAGATACAACTACAGTACTGTATTGGTACAGTATCCTGTTTTGATTGCTTGAGATAATATCCGGGACGGTCTTAACCATTGCAAGTTAATCGAGTGTGGGCATTTTATGATTGGTTAAAAAAATTAGTTTCATTATAATGTTCAAATATCAGCTGTATCATGGTGATTTTAGTATGTACTAACCATATTGTGCCTTAAGTGAATGTATGAGATACCAAAATGTAACTGCCAACCTATTGACTATTTTTTAGTCATACAGTTGTATAAAAGCACAACTTGTTGGCCTAATATTCTTATTAAACAAAATATAATTCTAATAGTATTTTGTTTAACTTAACAGGATATATATTACTGTACTATAATATTTATTAAATATGCAAGTAATAAACCCCCTTTGAATTTTCAGTGAGAGAAAATGGCGACAAACAGAAAGCCAGTTGGGATCAATTTTGAGAAGATCTTGCAGAGTTTACAGGGTAAGTATCTAAGATATTATGAATTAGACTCATGTCTTGATGTACAGTACCTAGATAAGATACTTTAATTATGGTTTATGTTAATTATAGTTTAAGATCTTTTGTGCAGTTTCAATTATCCTGAAGTGTTGAATAATATACAGTGCTGATGTTATTAACAACGATTAGAAGTTAGCTGTATAATATATACAAAACAACTGTGTATTTCTGCTTGCTGTGCTGTGATTTTAACACTTTTGTTACAAGCGAGAGTGCCAGGGGTTTAAATCTTGGGTAGAATATTTGTAACGGTTGGGCACTGTTTCTTTGCTACGTTAACTCCTGTACACCTAACAGTAACTAGGGACCTGTATGTAAAATTATTTTCAAAAAGTTTATTTTTTAGGAAAACATGGTGTTGAATGACTAATATAAACAGGGTCCTAAAATTGTTGTAGACAACGCACAGAAATTGATACAAGCTGGAAAAATTTTGCTTGAAGAGGAATATAAGGAAAAACTATTTGGGAATAGGGCTGTGGATAAGTGTGATAAGCTACCAGATAGCATTATTGGGACAAACTATTTAATAGGTTTCAAGAATAGATTGAATAGTTATGTAGGTGATAGGGTGTTGGTTTAGACAGAACCCACCTGGTAAGGACCAATAGACTTGCTGCAGTGTTTCCTAATTTTTATGTTCTCAAGCTGTAACAGGTTTGAGGTACCTGGTCCAAGGTTGAAACTGCATCATTAAAAAAAGTTGTAAGTTTCAAGGGTAAAATACAGTACCAAGTACAGGTATACTGTTATCATATTTTAAACTTTCTTTTCTGATGAAGGATTCAAATTTGACTTCACCAGTATAACATTATGCTGCTCTTTTGGTGCTGATTTTCTTCATTTATGAACAAAGGTTCAAGTTAATTAGCAACTTTTATGTGTTTATTACTAGTGACTTTGTGTTTGCATGGACATGCTGATATGCAGTCTCCGTGGTGTAGTGGTAAGACACTCGCCTGGCGTTCCGCGAGCGCTATGTCATGGGTTCGTATCCTGACCAGGGAGGATTTACTGGGCGCAATTCCTTAACTGTAGCCTCTGTTTAACGCAATAGTAAAATGTGTACTTGGATGAAAAAACGATTCTTCGCGGCAGGGGATCGTATTCCAGGGACCTGCCCGAAACGCTACGCGTACTAGTGGCTGTACAAGAATGTAACAACTCTTGTATATATCTCAAAAAAAAAAAAATATATGCATTGGAGTGGAATTAAACTGTATTCCATCCTTCCAGGGAATGTGCAACAGATGAGAACAGAGTTTGAGGAGAGCAACCTGCCCATCACTGATGACAATGAACTTCTGTATCAATTCTGTGACCGACTAGAATTCGTCCTTATGTTTGGTCTTCGAGGTAAGACTACATGCTTGTATTTTGACATCACATAAATATTTGTCCTAGCACACAGAAATCACAATAGCATGATGCATCAAATGAACAAACTTAACCATTTCGTGGCACAGTCAATTAAGGCGCATCTGGGGGTCCTCTCGGACGTAGGTTCGAACCCTTATCACGGGCCCTTGTGGATTTGTTCAATATATGTCCTAATTCAATTATTTTGCATGGAGACAGGTACAGTAGATAGTATCAATGAATACACTGCAGTGGAAAGGTTATATGAGCTGAGATTAACACTCATTTCTAAACCTCCTGTTGAACAACACTTGGGGAAATATTTCCACCAAACTACACATAGGTAAACTGCCAAATTGTGACTATCATAAGTAAAACTTAACATTCCATTTCACTCCCATGATTCAGCAAGTGTGGCAATCTAGAATAATAATAATGTTTATTTATGTAACATGCATACAGTGGAGTCTTCGTAGGTACACAACACGTGTTATATGAAGCCACTGATAAGAAGAACATATAAGTTATCTCTTGGCATCTGAGAACACATCAGTAAATTGGAAGTGTGCATGATGAAATGTCACTGGCACGATGCTCGTAGGATGCCAGTACATTAAGAATTGCTCAACTTTACTTCTAGTACTTTCTAAAACCTTGAACAAGTCCCAAAGTCTTATTCTTGTATCCTTTCCAGATGCTGTATAGTTGTAGTAACTTAGCACTCTCTCCTGATAATTCCCTTACATTGCCCTCCAAAAAGGTATATAGCCTTTTGATAGTTATTACTTGCATGGTACTAGTATAATGTTTAAAAATGCTAGGAACACAATGTCAGTGAATTGTAACAAAACTTATTTATACATCATACAGTATACAATACTGTACAAGATTGATACGTTCATTGGCTTCTCACCCCCTTTACCTTGTGATAAGTACTGTATATGTATATGTAAGAATATTGAGAGCTTTTGGATGGCCCCTATAACATCCAGGTTAAATTTGTGTGTAACTTTGATGATGTAAAAGTCTGCTATTTGTTGGATCTGGCTCCCACCATATTTACTAGTGATAATTTTTTTCTTTCCTATATGAATCAAGGTACAGTATATAAATTATAATTCATTTCATAATAATACTAGTTTTCTTTGGGCCAGGCAGCCAGTGAATATATATATGGTAGGCTGATACTGAGCCCCCCCCCCCTCCCTCCCTGCTCCAAGATCGGAATACTGACCCTCCCAGGATGCAACTTGTTGACTATCTCTCAGGTACCTATTTACTGCTAGGGGAACAGAGGCATTAGGTGAAAAGAAACATGCCCAACCATTTTTGTCCTGCCCAGAATTCCTGATTGTGAGTTGAAGGTAAATATTAATTAGGAAATATGGTACAGGTTGGTTCATTTATGGAACAAATTACCCGGTATTATAGTAGACATGAGATCACTGGATTATTTCTAGCTCGTCCATGATTTGACAGACTAGAATACTACAAGCAGCTCTACAAGATGTGGCATCAGTAACAGAACTGAGATGGAGAGCTGGCTGGGGCCGGGCCACCTGCTGGTGGTAATTGGTACTACGTAAAGAGTTTCGAGCTAGTTGGAGTGAATTCTGTGTTCTGTGCAATTCATTTGTAGAGTTGTTTGACAGTTTCAAGGGCTCTTTTCTGTGAATCCTCTTGTTATGTGTAAAGCTGCACTGACTTTCTGGAGGCTTTTTCCATTGGAATGGCAGATAACCTTTTAGTTTGGAGCAATCTCACCAAGATAGCTTCAGGGAGCCACGGGGTTTCTCCAGAAAGAGGCATTTCGTTACATTTAATGTTAGGTTTTATTGTAATCTATTTGAAAATTATGATTATTATAAATATGCAAGAGAATGTGAATGTATCTTGTTATATTGGAAGAATTGTTAATGTAATTTTTATATTACCGTAATTACAGAACGAGGTACTGTTTTAGTTGGCCGAAAGGACCTTTGGAAGTATTTTTGCAAGTGCCTTGCTGAACGACGCAACATTCGTGATGGGCTGAAAATTGTAAAGGCAAACACTGAGGCAAGTCAGCTTTGAAAATAGCTTCCTTAATTAATTTTTTTTAATATAGTTAACCTGTTTAACTTTTCATCATCACAAACTTTAAGTGTGTATTGTGGGCACAAGTGGAGCCAAGGAGCTGTATGAAAAAGTGCTAGTACCTATCATTATGTATGATGTCCTATAAAACATGTAAAACCTGAAATTAGCAGTAATGATAGACCATCTGAGAAGCCTTTGTGGTGTTTGATGAATATGTAAAGGCATGAAAATGTTACCGGAAAAATGCAAGTGTAAAATTTGCTAAATCACAGTCAAAGGGAGTGGACTGAGGAGGCTTAGTCATGTAGGACAGAAGGATCTTGATAGACTGTTGAATGTATTCAAATGAATTTGAGAAAAGGAGGAGAAGAGGAAGTGCATGAAGATTGACAGGTGAGTGATGTGAGGCAGCAAGGATCAAGTGTGAACATAACACAAGGTATGATTGGTAACAAGGCTAGGTGTTGCCACTCTGTAAAGAGAGGTAGAATGTATTATTTGTGCTGTACTGTATATAGCAATTCTTAAGGAGCACAGCAGGTCTTGCCAAGCAGTTTGGAATGCTCCAATGGATGATTTAGTGGAGTGCAGTGATGTGGGTTATGTGTGTAATAGTATGTTCTGCAGGCAGGATAGAGGCCCCAAACTCAATAGAAGCAAAAGAAAGCAGGATAGAGGCCCCAAACTCAATAGAAGCAAAAGAAAGCAGGATAGAGGCCCCAAACTCAATAGAAGCAAAAGAAAGCAGGATAGAGGCTTCCACCCAAACATGATGTGCCATAACATACATTCAAGGGTGACAGCAAACTTGAACCCAAAATTACAGCCTCAACTCTCCCAAAGAATGACTAGGGATAAGCACCACCTTACACAGATGAAGAAATGATTAAATGTATAAATGTACACTTGGAGACAAAACAGTGAAGTAGTTATAATGGTGGAAAACGTGACAGGCAAAAACTACTATGCAGTACTGTATCTCACTACTGATCAAGTACAGGGATCTGGATGGTCAAATAATGTGGTAAGGTACAATGCCTATATCCAGATACATGTACCTAGGAACCAGGAATGTAGTGGAGAACTAAAAAAAGAATCATCTCCACTGTTGACAAACAGTGGAGATTCTCCAGGCACAGAGAACATAACTCATGAGAAATGCTCACTAATGTAACATTTGTCCACTCCACAAATGAAGCAAAGATCCTAGCAATAATAGAAGGCACCTAACTGAAAGTACTAGTCTCTGCCTGTCTCAACACCTTGCAGCTGAGATCAGTCAAGATAAAATGTGAGAAGGTTGAGCTGGAGTGCTTTGTTTTGATATTGGTGGTGCAACTTGGGGACAATTGCAGATTGTGTCATAGTGGGCTGTTCACTAGGTACCTAGAGTACAGCTTGATCATTTCTCTGATGCCAAGTTGCACTTAAATATGCTTTCAAGTTTTTGTAAGGCACGTTTGTCAAAATTCTGAGCTGTATACAGCAATGGCCTCTCTTATTGTGCAAGAGATATTATTTCTCAGTAAATCAGTCTGGTCTGGCTTAGGTACTCACCAGTCTCTCCCTCGCATCACTATGACCTGGCGAGGACAGTTTGAAAAGTTCGTTGTTGTGTCATGCAGAATGTCAACCTACTTGGACTTCACCAAACCCTGCCTTTGGATCTTACATTAGAGAACAATCGAGTGTGATTGGTCAGAATTTAACTATGCTACTTGTTGAAGTATGGGTCAGAAATCACCATTTTAATTCTTAAAGGGAATGGTGGAGTTGGTGCATTTAGATACTGAAGCAATAATTGAAGACAAAGATATTACAGTAATTACATTTAGGACTAAAATTTATATCATAATAAATCTGTCTTTCTTTTTTTCCAGCTGAAAACTGCTGTAGGACGTGGTCGATGTTTCCTACGTTATTGTTTGGTCCACAAGTGCATTGGCGATGTCATCCAGCAGTGTATTGACAATCAGAGTGTCACTCGACAGTTCTATGAAGATGGCGCACTATTGCTCAATGTTAAGCTATCCCCGATACTGCTGAATTGTTTATATAATCTTTGTGATGTGCCCTTCGATTTGCCTCCTTCGGGGAACGATCTAGATGTTTCTTGGCCAACATTTGCACGGTAAGTCTTACTTCTGACCATTGCTTTTTCACTACACTCTTGATTATTAGAAAGAATATTTGCTACCAGACTTTTCCAGCCACCTCTCCAGGTAGTGACCATACAGCTCCAGCTGGGTAGAAGATATGCTGTGTGTAATATGGACAGCCTTTAAGTGCTTGAATTTTACTAAGTGGCCCTTAAAGGAATTGTTTACCAACTCCTGAATCTCTTTATTTTAATTAGTGACCTTAATGGATGCAACTCCTTGGTAGGGATACCTAATCCAGCCTAAGTGAAAACTTGTAATTACCTAAGTGTAGTTAGGTAAAGGATGAGAGCTACACTCGTGGTGTCCCGTCTTCCCAGTACTCTCTGTCGTATAACTACTGAAACTACTGACGGTTTTGGCCTCCACCACCTTCTCTCTTAGCTTGTTCCAACCGTCTACCACTCTGTTTGCAAAAGAAAACGTTCTAATATTTCTTTGTAACCTTTGTTTCCTCAACTTCAATCTGTGTCCTCTTGTTTGTGAAGTTGCTGGTTTCAGGAATTCCTTTGTCAATTTGGTCAGTTAATATTAGTATTTTGTAAGTGGTGATCATATCTCCTCTTGTGCTTCTATTTTCTAGTTTTGGCATGTTTAATGCCAAAGTCTCTAGTCTCTCCTCGTAACTGTTGTTTTTCAGTTCCGGAAGCCATTTTGTAGCATGCCGTTACATCTTTTCCAGTCTATTTATGTGCTTCTTGAGATTTGGGCACCATACAATTTCTGCATACAGTATTCCAATTTTGGTCTCACAAAAGTCATGAACAGTTTCTTTAGTATTTCACTATCCATATAATTAAAAGCAAGTCTAAAGTTTAAAGTTGGAAAACGATGCATACGCTCCTCTCACAATGTTCTTTATTGTTCTTTATGTGTTCCTTTAGCAACAGCTTACTATCCAAAACCACCAAAAGGTCTCGTTCTTTATTTAGAGTTCTGTAATTCCTTTCAACATTATTTGCAAATTGTGTGTGGTCTATTTTCTCCAATTCCACATTCCATAACATGGCATTTATTCACATTGAATTCCATTGATCACTTGATGCTCCAAGCACTTATTTGATCTAAATCAATTTGAAGGGCATTACAATCGTCTGCTTCGCATTTTGTGAATGATATCTTGTGTGTATGAGATGCAATAATTTAGGCTGAGCTTTGCCAGCCAGATGATGAGTTCATCATCTCCAGCCACTCAAGGCTTCATACATGTTTTCATTGGGGCTGGGAACTAGCATAATTTACTCTTCTTTAGTTGTGCAAGGATTTGGTGGTGTTCTCTAGTTTCTATATGTCAAAACTAGATTATAGGTTTTAGGAATTTTCCTCAACAACTTCAACTAGGTTGAGATCCATAAAGTGTGTCCATCATAATGTTATTTGTCGGGTCACTGGTGCTTTCAGACTTTATCAATACCTAGTGTATTGGTGGATGCAACCGAGCTGCTTCTGGTGTATGTGGAGCAGTCGTTGGTGGCACTGAATACTTGCGATTGTTCTTTGAGTGATACCTTACAATCTTTTAGAAGCTTCACTTAGGTTTGTCACATCCCTTTAGTTGTAGGCTTCATATAAATATGAAGGACCTATTCCTCCCATGCATCCCAGTTAGTCCAGTAAATTATCTGAAGGTTGCTCTTTAGTTGTGTATATCGCTGGTACCAGGGCAACACCCCCAACATTTAATGTCTTATTCTTAATCATCTTCTTTCCTTAAATCTAATACCTGTACCAGCATTGAATTGGGTGCCACATTTCCTGGTTTTAGCAGCAGTGAGACTTGAAGGCCAAGCTCTCTGCTATAATATTGACTTTTAAAGAGATTATTACGCCTGATGATTTTTTTCTGCCAATATTTCATGTCATGAAATATGTTAATTTGGTACATACCTTTATTTTATGAATTTTACATAGGTTGGCTAATAGGTGTGACCAAATAGATTTCTGATGTTGCCAAGACATGTCAGTGTGTCTGACAATGAACAAGCTCATGTAGTCACACATGCTTGAGCTAACTTGGTCCCCTCAAGGCATTCCTTCCCATTTGGTTAATTTACATCTGGAGGATCTGGGGAATAGTACAGCTACTTTTGTACCAACAGCGTTGTGAGGAGGCCGCTGTCAACCCTAGAAATGTAAGAGAGATGAAAGTGTTTGTCAGTGGTCTTGTTCCAGTGTGCCATGCTGGCGGAAGTCTGTGCTTGCTTGTTTGTGTATTGATCATGCATCCAAAAGGTTAGGTTCCTTTTTTATTTATTCTGTATATTTGTTTTTATTATGGTGAATGTTTACTTTTTAAAATATCTTTTTATTAATTTCATCTGTATTACTCTAACATTAAATTGTCACTCAATCCACCTATGCACTCATTCACTCACTCCCTTACTTTGCACATTTCTTAAACCCTTTTTCTTAGTGTTGTATTGGCAACATGTATTGGGTAATTTATCTGTACTGTGCTGTCAGGGTAGACAAGAATAGCATCAGCAATGTGGCTTCGTCCAGTGGCAGGCAATAAATTAACGTGGAGCTACGCAGTTGGATGATGCTTCGTGGCAGTTATGCGCTGCTGAATGTGAAACAAGTTGTTGTGTAGTGCTAATGCGACATATTTCAGGGTGATTTAAAGACAACATAAATCCTTGGTGTGTTCTCAGCTACCGCCTAACCCTAGCTACCAAGTCTTGTCTTAACCATTTATTGGCTCTCCAGATGTGCTCACAACAAACACATGCACACTATGAGCATAGTTCGACTTCTGTGACTACAAATATGTTATAACAAATGGGCATTTACACAATTTTGTTTATAGTACATAAAGCATAGACTCGGTGAATCCTTCCCTTCATCGTTTTTAGTTGATACAAAACTAATAAAAAACAAGTAAAGGCTACACAGAATTGACCTGCTGGCCACTACAATTAGACGACAATGCCCTAAAGCTTCTCCAGCACCTTGCAACTCTACCCTGCACATTCCGAGAACCGAGCACTGCCTGCTTGTACATAACTAACATGCTCATAGCTTGTAAATAACTAATATGCCTGAAGTACTTATAACTAGGCTGTACTCTCAAAATTCACTCGCCCTCACAGTAACATTGGAAGACCATCACGTCTCTCTTGGGAGGTCTGCTTCCCATGCAGCCGTCTCTACTTTGGCCACACACGCAACACTGCAACTTGTGCCACTACATTCCCTGACCTCAGCCACAGCATTCCACATCTGGCTATTGTCACATTTTCACCTCAACCATCTCTGAAACCTGTTTGGAGAATATATTTATTTTTATGTTACAGTGTACTTTATACGTTATCTTGTAAATTACTACACGGAGAACAGCAAAAGCTTCCAGTAGGACAGAGACACCCTATAGGGTGTTGACAGCTTGCAGAAAGACATAAAAAACATGAAGAATAACCCCTGTACAAGGTACAGGCCAGGCCTTGGCTTGTACCTAAATTCCACAATCTAATTGACCTCTTATAGAATGACATGGACCTCTTATAGGAATGATCTGTTAAGTGGCTACTAGAGCTCAATCTTAACTACATTTATTTGTCCCATATATATTTGCCTTCAAGTTTCAAATAGGAAAGGGGAACATGAACATATTCATTTTAATATTTTCTGACTGTCTAGAGTATAAGGCAACTCTTCTCCACTTATGCTCGCTACTTTCTCTTAAATACAATACTGTATTTTATAAACGTTTTCAGAGTGGCTACAAACGTTTTGTAAAGCCTTTACAATGACTTCGAGGGGGCCCGAAAACACACACACACATGCAAGTTGCGTGATGGCTGGCACACAGTCATGTGCGCAGCAGCCCTCGGTAATGCAGTGCCACTGCCAGTATACAGGGCCTGGTCAGATAATGACATATTTTATTGAAAGTTTTGCAGCTCGATATTTTTTCTCAATGACGAGAGCAAGTGGGGACGTAAGTGATAAAACGCTCCTTCAAAGGGGAACTGAATAAAAGGAAGGGCTCTCCACTTAATAATTAATCAAAATAGTTTAAATTTACAAGCCAGACGTACTTGTGTGTTATGGAGGTGAGTGTTTATTACGCTAGAGGTGCCTTATATTTTCTTGCACTCCATGTGTGCTTTGCATTTTTATCATTACAAATCTTATTTTGCGCTTTATTTGTCATCTATCTTCTTCCTCTTTTTACGCCCTCTTTTCCTCTCAATTTTTCCCCCTCTTTTCCTTCTTTCCATTCTTCCCCATTCCTTTTTTCCCTCTTCCTCTTTAGTTCCCCTCTCCACACCCCCACTTTGCATATTGTTGTAAGTGGTGCTACAGGACCCCCCTCCACAGTGTGCGGGATAAGAGTGTGTGTTGCCCGATGCCTCCACACACACACGCGCACGCACACACACACACACACACACACACACACACACACACACACACACACGTGACAGTGACAGTAACGGCCTCCTGGGCTGCCAGACACCTGGTCAGTACATACTGGCTCTCCCCCAAGTTGGCTTTTTCTCCCCAACTTTCCCGTGTCGGGGTTTTTCCCCCATTACGCCGGACACTAGTTTTATTTATACACTACGCGCTTTCCGGTATGTTTTAGCGTTTGTTGCCTTCGATGTGTAGTTGTTTGTTTATTCGTGTTTGTTTAAATATTTTTGTTATCGGTGGTCTGGACCCCTCCCTCCCCCCTCCCTCCCTCCCTCCCCCTCACTTCCCCTTATTGTTTTTTTTGCGCTTTTTGTTTATTTGTTTGTTATTTATTTTCCGTATTTTGGTAATTGGTGTGTCGATCCCATCCCTTACTTCTGGCATTTTTTATTCTTGTCTTTCTTTCTTCCTCCTGCATTCATCTGTCTTCTTGAATTCCTTCTCCTGCTTTCCTTTTCCTGTCTTTATGCATCCAGCCTTCTTAATTCCTGCATCCTTTGCGGTTTATTCCTTTTTCCTCCTCCTCCTTCCTTCCTGACTTCTTCCTGTTTGACTTCCTTCCTTCCTTCCCTCCCTTCCTTCCTTCCTTCCTTCCTTCCTTCCTTCCTTCCTTCCTTCCTTCCTTCCTTCCTTCCCTCCCTTCCTTCCTTCCTTCCTTCCTTCCTTCCTTCCTTCCTTCCTTCCTTCCTTCCTTCCTTCCTTCCTTCCTTCCTTCCTTCCTTCCTTCCTTCCTTCCTTCCTTCCTTCCTTCCTTCCTTCCTTCCTTCCTTCCCTCCCTCCCTCTTCCTGCTTGCATTCCTCCCCTCCTCCCCCAGCCTTCCTCCTCCCCCCCCCTGCCTTCCTTCTCCACCCCCCTTTCACCCCCCCCCCCACTTGCCTTCCTCCTCCACAATATTTACCCACAAGTTGCTAGACACTGTTGGTGCAGGTTGCCATTGGTATTTTCCATGAAATGTCATAATTCTTTCACAAATGTTGCCATAGCAATGTGTGAAAAAAGGAGAATAGAAAGTGTATACAATGAAGGCGTAGGAGATGAGGAGGGAATGAAGGAAGAGGAGGAATGGAGAACTTTTCCTCCCTTCCCTCCTAGGTGAGCCAGATATACCTCCCACCCCTCCCGGCCCTTCCCACATGCCTGGTATTTCCTGGCACCGCGTGTGTTGTCCACACTCGGCTGGTGTTTGGTTTATGTGAGGGACGGTGAGTAGGAAGGAAGCACCTTGAAGATGGAAGTGGGGGTTGTTTTCCAGGGATTAAAATGAGTACAGTTCTACGACAAACAGGGTTGGAACGATGACTACTGCCTAACCACTTGGACTGGACGGTAGAGTGACGGTCTCGCTTCATGCTGAGCGACGTTCAATCCCTGACTGTCCAAGTGGTTGGGACACCATTCCTTTCCCCCCAACCCATCCCAAATCCTTATCCTGACCCCTTCCAAGTGCTATATAGTCATAATAACTTTCCACTTTCTCCTGATAGTTCCCTCTTTCCCTAAACCATCCGGGACAGATTTTTAGTTTAAAAAATCTGGGCAAATTTAAAGAAAAAATTAATATGGGCTGATTTGTTCTATTTAAATTGAAGTTTGCATTTTTTTTATTTCTTTATTTCTTGATTATATAGTTAAAACCCCAACCTGACCCAAGCCAGCTTTTTTTTTGCCAACCCTGACTACAAGCTTTGTCCCTATGGACGTGATGAGGATGAGAGAGCGTAAGTCTCCCTCTACTCTCCACTTTCTCTGGCTAAGACTGCCTATAAGAAAACTAGTTGCTTTGTACTTTCCTATCAGTGATGACAGGGAAGCGGGATCTAGCTCTTTGTCATGCCTACGAGCCTTGTCGTACTGCATGGAAGACAAGGTAGGAGGAGAGATGCTTGGAAGAATGAGTAGAGTGAGGGACTGCAAATAATGGAGGAAGGAGGGGGATGGCGAAAAGAGAGAGAGAGAGAGACTAGGAAGAAAGTATAAGAGTGAGTGAATGAGTGAGCAAACATGAGCTAAACATAGAATATATTGTCAGGTGATCCACCCACATTCAGCACTTTGGGCTTATGAGTTCCTCAGAGCTCATCCACCTATCACTCATCTCTCACCCACTTCTTACTTGTCTCTCACATCTTGTGTACATTACCCACCTATCACTTGACTCACCACACCTCTCATTCTCACCACACCTCTCATTTAGCTATTTCTCTCTCTGTCTCATATTCTCTCTCATATTCTCTCTCTCTCTCATATTCTCTCTCTCTCATATTCTCTCTCTCATATTCTCTTCTCTCTCATATTCTCTTCTCTCTCATATTCTCTCTCTCTCATATTCTCTCTCTCTCATATTCTCTTCTCTCTCATATTCTCTTCTCTCTCATATTCTCTTCTCTGTCATATTCTCTTCTCTCTCATATTCTCTTCTCTCTCATATTCTCTTCTCTCTCTCACTCACTCACTCACTCACTCACTCACTCACTCACTCACTCACTCACTCACTCACTCACTCACTCACTCACTCACTCACTCACTCACTCTCTCTCTCTCACTCTCTCTCACTCTCTCTCTCTCTCTCTCACTCTCACTCTCTCACTCTCTCTCACTCTCTCTCTCTCTCTCTCACTCTCACTCTCTCACTCTCTCTCTCTCTTAACCTTGTCGTCATGAAGTGACAACACACTCTAAATACTTCTTGTGTGCTAAGGTTATAACACAGTTGTGTCCTATGGTCATAGCACGCCAAGACTGGTGTGCACTAATAACTGTTTGTCCGCTCAGTGACTGGCCGGCGAGAGTGGTCATTCCGGTGTATAAACGAGTGTCTGACGTGTTTTGTTTTATGGACAGACATGGAGCGGGTGTTGGTGCTTGGCGGCCCCCCAGCAGGACTCTCTCTCTCGTCTCCATCTCCTCTTGCAACTCCCAGGTGAGCCCTGTAGCTCCTTGGGTGAGTCCTACAATCCCTCAG